CCAGCTGCCACCACCAGGGGCATTTGCAGCTACCGCAGCAGACTCCGGACCACGGCGACTGGACGTACGAGGAGCAGTTCAAGCAGGTAGGTGCCCGGGAGGCGCCCGTCCCTTTAACTGACTTGCTGACCCAGAGTTTATAAGCCAGTTACTTTTAATGCTGCATCTCTAGCACTTAATCCCCGGCGGGACCTTGAGCAGGGTCAAGCGCCACCAGGGGCATTTGCAGCTACCGCAGCAGACTCCGGACCACGGCGACTGGACGTACGAGGAGCAGTTCAAGCAGGTAGGTGCCCGGGAGGCGCCCGTCCCTTTAACTGACTTGCTGACCCAGAGTTTATAAGCCAGTTACTTTTAATGCTGCATCTCTAGCACTTAATCCCCGGCGGGACCTTGAGCAGGGTCAAGCGTCCCGCTGCCCTGGCAGGCCGGAGATGCCAAGGTGGCTGCATGCCTGGCTAAGCCCAGGAGCTGTTCCCGCCAAGCGCCTGGGCCGTGTTTGGGATGGCTGGCGTCGTCGGGAGCTTTGGAAGGGCGGCAGGCGGGTCTGACGCGGCATGTGAATGAAGGCTCCGGGGGAGAGCCCGGGGCGCCCGGACCCTTCTAGTGGCTTAGATGGATTTTAATATTTTGGGCGCCCGAGCGCTTGGCAGGTTCCTGGGGCTGTCTCTAGTTCCATGCTGCCAGCCTTGGGCTCAGAGCTTGTCCTTGGAGCCACCCGGGCCAGCTGGGTGCCAAGCCCAAGAACTAGGCACCCCGGAGCCATGGGCCCGTCCTTCTCAGCTGGGCTAACGGGCACCCTTCTAGTGGCTTAGATGGATTTTAATATTTTGGGCGCCCGAGCGCTTGGCAGGTTCCTGGGGCTGTCTCTAGTTCCATGCTGCCAGCCTTGGGCTCAGAGCTTGTCCTTGGAGCCACCCGGGCCAGCTGGGTGCCAAGCCCAAGAACTAGGCACCCCGGAGCCATGGGCCCGTCCTTCTCAGCTGGGCTAACGGGCGCGTTTGGTGCGGCTCAGTGCAGGCTGGCCGGGGCAGCTAGGTGCCCGCGTCTTCCCACCAAATGGTTCTTGCGTCACTAACGCTGCAGCTTTTTTGACTTCGTGTGTCTGCTCGGCTGGGGGCCCGATCGCAGCTCTGCCGCGTGTCTGTGTTGGCCTCCGGCCGGGCAGTGCCCTCTCCCTGGCACGCTGCTTTCGCAGGCAGACCGGCTCTGCTGGCGTCGTTTTGCAGAGCTCTGTGAAGGTGGGGATCCCGGCGACTTATCCATTTGGCCTTGATTTAAGCATGTGACTTCACCATGTGCCTAGTGGTAAGGGCAGGCTGTTCAGCCGGGCACTTGGACGGGCACCTTGCAACGCTGCCCAGTTGCGCCCCTCCTAGCTAGGGCAGCCCCCTGGGTTTCCGCTTGGCAGCAGGGATGTGACGGGCAGATGGGGGGGGG